CCCGCCACAGCGGCGCTGGCGTGGCGGATGTACTTCGCGTCCCCGCGGATGGGGTGCCCCAACGAGGCCAAGTGCACGCGCACCTGGTGCGTGCGGCCCGTCAGCAGCAGGCACTCCACCACAGACTCATCACGGGCGGCATCGTATGCAACGCACCGCACGAGCGTCACAGCCCGCTTCATGCTCTCTTTTAACCGACGTGTCTGCGCCTCGGCAGCGTTGTTGCTGTCACGTTCACCGTTGTCGCCGCCGCCGCCGCCGCAATCACAACCATTACCAACACCGTCGCTATTCGTTGCTGCGGCAGCACGTCCTCCAATAGTCAGTTGTCGCATGCGCTCGTGCTTAGCCACCAGCGCAGCGGCGTCGCGGTGCGGGGCTCGCTTGCGAGCACCACTCACAGTTGACTTTACATCAGGCACACAGGCAGTGTCACTTCTGCGACGCGACGCCTCCATATCTTCACACCACGACTGTGTGAGTGCTGCATCGGGGCACCAATAGAGGCTGTCGTGGTATGAGAGACAGCCGATGGGGCGGTCCACACGCAACCAGGACGCGTCACGGCCCTCGTCCAGAGCAGCAGGAGTGGCGGAGACTGAAGGCGGCAGCGCGAGGCTGCAGTGATGCTGCTCTTGCGCCAGCTTAGCAGCATCGAAGCGGCCAAGCACCCGTGCTAGGTATTGCTTCGTGCACCCTACTGCCGCTGCGGTTTCGCCGTTAAGGTCGCTGCTGTCTGCCTCGGCGTCGCCCTTCTGCGCCAGCAGCTCCGTCGTCACACGTGCGCTCGCAGAGTCTAGCCCGAAGAGCAGCACACCACTCGTGGCGGCGTCGAGGCGGTGCACGACGAAGGCTTTCAATCCGCTCACGTGCTGTTCTGTCAGGAGTGAGTGAAGCTCCGCCCACGCTTCACGGCTGACGTAGCCATCACCGACCCACACACGTATGAGTTCAAAGCCGTACCGCTTGTGGCGTATCGCAATGTGCTCGACACCGCTCACTCGTCGCTCTTCCGCCTCATCCTGCCGCCGGCGTTGCTGCTGTTGCTGCTCGTCCAGCGGCACAGCGTGATAGCGGTGAGCGTCCACGCCGCCAAAGACATCTTCCAAAATTGCCGTGACAGAGTTCTTGCGGCATCGACCCGAAGGGTGGACAGGAACGCCGTGCGGCTTTTGGACGATGAGCAGTCGACGTGGCGGCACACCACGGGGAGCATGGTCATAGCGGAGAATGTGTAGAGGGTCGCCGCACGGCATTGCAGCCTCGCGACGCAGCACCTCGTGCAGAATGACATCCTTCTGCCGCAGGAGGAGACGTGGCTGCAGGGCGCCCAGCAACACCTCCATCGCCGCGGCCTCGGAGCCTGCCGCAATGTCGGCGCGCCACTTTACCTTCTCTTCCACGCCGCCGCCGCAGTCGGTGTTGTTGTTGTTGCTGCCGCTGCTGCTGCCGCCTTCGCTGCTGTTGTTGTTTGCCTCGACAGCTGGCGCAAGGAGATGGTGGAGCTCTGCGGCGTACGCGTGGCCGGCGGCGCGAGACTCCGCCTCCCGCCCATGCACGCAGAGGGCGCCGCTGCGGAGTTCCTCGACATACGCCGGGATGGTGACGCGCGGGTCAAGACTTGCCTGTGGTGCGCCGTCGCCGCCCGTCGCCGTCAGTGGGGCGATGTATGCGAACTCCTTCGCGAAGACGTTGAGGAGCGGGCGGCCCAGCCACCGGCCCTTCACAGGGGCGCGGAAGGTGAATGTGTACGGCACCACACCCAACGCACACATCTGCTCCACCTCCCTGCCATCACCGCCGGGCTCTGCTGGCACAACGACGGGGTAACGGTCTCCAGGCAAATGCTCACCACTGTCTGCCACATGCATTCCAACAAGGACCGGGAATAAATGCGTCTACACTCTCTTCCCCTCGATTGTTCGGTGGGGGTATGGGCGTGCGTGTACGCTACCTTCTTCGCCTATGAATAGCGAAACCACAACAGCAGGCCGCACCGAAGAAACAAACAAACAACAAAAAAGCCTGAGCCTTGCAACGCACACCTCACCGCGTCGGGCAGTGGGGACGGAAAAGTGTTTTGCTGTGCGAAACCCAAAAGTAGTGGCAGTATAAAGTTGCTTATCATGCCACGGTAGTGACAAACACAAACACACACACACACACACACACCGAGACAGCGTTGCTGCTCACCGTCGCTAACAGAGCAGAATACATGATCGCTCGGTTAATCGTTTTGAATCACCCCTCACATCACTTCACCTTTGACATTTCTAATCCACTGGCTGCACTCATAGTCATCTTCTCCACGCGCCACCTCAAGAGCAAAATTGCCACGTCGGTCGCAATGAACAGAAGGCTCAGCACACCCAGTGCACCAATCACTTCCAAACTGACTTCACATTCCAGTGTATCAGGGTGGTAGTGGTGCGAGATAATTCCGCCGCAGTCAGGAGAGGCACCGCAACGATTGAGACTCGTAAATAACTTCTTACCGACCCTGCACGTCTTCGGCACTGCACATGACTTTTCATCCATGGGGCCGTCTTCACCCCCATCATTCCCTGGAGGACCTTGACGCGCCACCTCCATGAGCATCATGGGGAAGCCAGCGACAGCGGAACCTGGGCGAACGTAGCGCGTGACAGAGAAGACGGCGTTCTCCAGGAAAAGAGCCCCAAACACAACCTTGGGTAATGGCAGCTTTCCGCCTTCCTCCAGGGACTCGGTGATGGAGCCGGAGGATTGTATCCGCAGGTACCCGTCTGCATCCACCATCCTATTCATATCGACGTATAGGACTGACGTCCGGTACGCCATATCAAAGGTGTTCTTATAGCGGCAAGTCTGCACACTGAACTCCAACTCTGGTAGGTGATTGATAAATTCTGGAGAAATCTTACATTCAAGGTATTCCTTTCGCGAATGCGACGACGACCTTGAATTACCCGGACCACGTACAAACGAGCAGTGTCCAGCGTCATAAAGTGATGTGGCGGCGGGTCCCGCGGCTAACCATCCGGAAATAGCGCGCAGCACCTCCCGTGGGAGAAGCAGGTCCATTACTGCCTCATTCGTGCTGATCACAGCCGTGAGGACTTCCATAAGTGTTCGACCATCCCTTTCACTGATGATGTTTGATATACGCGCATGACAGAGGTACACTGAGACACTAAATGACAACCCTCCCTCGTCTAGTGGCATCATCCCTTGGATACTCTGGCGAAGCAAGCACGAGAAGCCCAAGGGGTTTGATCCCAAGAGTGTTGGCAAGGTCATCGACTGCACCAAAGTGCGCTTGGCGACGTCGAGAACAAATGTTGAGTACATTGACCCGCAGCAGGGCGACCCCACCGCCAGCCCCAAAAAGCCCGGTTGACTCACGGAGCCATCATTCAAGCCGTCTTCGCATGCGAAATTCAAGCATGGGCATTCATCTAAATTCCCTCCTGGAAGCCTTTCTTGCATCTTCACAATCCCAGGCGGAAAATACGTACTGATGATCAGCAGACGGCGCACAAGCCGTCCAACACCGCTATCACATTCCGCTTCTTGTGTATCCCAACCCAATGCTTTTTCTGACATGCATACCACGTGCTCCTTTGAGATTAACGTGTCATTCGCCACTGAGAGCCTATACACCGCGTGCGCCCCCATTTCCTCCGCGCTACCACCCATTGCACACGAGAAAGAGCCGAACACAGCGAGGAGGAGCACAACACCAAACAGCATTGCTCTGTAATTGCCTCGCCCTCTTTTTCGTATATATATATANGAGCCGAACACAGCGAGGAGGAGCACAACACCAAACAGCATTGCTCTGTAATTGCCTCGCCCTCTTTTTCGTATATATATATATACCTTTTACTTTTTGACCCTCTTGAAAGTCTTGCGTGGTAAAAGCAACCGAAAAACAGAGAGAGTGAGAAGTTGCATGCGTGTGTGCAGCTTAGCCTGGGCCCGGGCACCGCCGGCCGGCCGGCCTGCTGGACAAAACAACAACAACAACAAAAAAAATGCCCGAAAGACTCGCACAATTCAAAAATACGTCCGCAATACGGTACAGGTGGGAAGCAGCAGCGATAATCGGCATCCCCTCTCGCAGAGGAGTGGTGAGAAAGAAAGGAATAAGTGAGGAAGCACAACAAAAAACAAACAAAGGGCACAACATGAACAAGCAAACAAACAACAACACGAACAAAAAAGAAAAGGAAAAGAACAGTGTTTTTTTTTGTCGACCTGAAAAATATTGAGTTCATCCTTTCCTTTTCCTTTCTGGTTGGGGGGGNGGGGGGGGGCTATCGCCCCCATTCCCCTACGCGTGCCCAGGGACAGAGCAGACACTCCTACACAGCATCCCCCGACGCAGCGGTGCGCCACGCGGCTCCTCTCACTTCCGTTATGGTGTTTATATCATCCCAGGCGGGCATCCCTTAAGGTGGGGAAAGCGCATATGTAGACGCGCCCACTCACCTGCCAGCCTCTCCCGGTGCAACGTCCTGGAGGGAGAGGCGCCGCACAGTCGCCCTTACTACCTCCAGCTGGCGACGCAGCGAAGCAATTTCACCCTTCTGTTGCTGCAGCATCTGATCCTTCTCTGCTAGTTGCTCTTCGAGGCGAGCAACAACCACCTTCAGTTGTGGAGGCATCGCTGCCGTCGTGGGCGTAGCGGCGTCATCGTCCACAGAAGCATCAACAGCAGCAGTAGTGGTAGCGACACCTTCGTCTTTCTCATGCACCCCACCGGGCACTCTGATGGACGGCATGTCCTCCGCCTTCTCTGGCTGGCATTCAGCGGGTGGAGCGGCACCGCGTTCACTGCCTTGTTGGGCGCCTGCATGGGCATTGTTCTCATGTGCTCCCTCTTCCTCATCGCCCACACCATTGTCGTCGTGGAGCGGGACGGCACTGACAAACGGCCTACGGAGCGACGGAATGGCGGTGACGCGCCTCGCAAATTCAAACTCCTTCGGCACTGTGAGTCGGTTCTGCCACGTGCCTGCCTCTTTCCCACGCAGCCGCCGCTCCGCCTCGACCCGCTGCTGCCGCGCCTCATCCAGTCTCTCCAAGTGGGCGGCCACACCCGGGTCGTCGCGAAAATAAGATGTGGCTCGCATGGAACGAGCGCGACGAGGATCGCTGGGGGGCGTTGACAGCCGTGGGTTGAAGGAACACTCGTTGAGAGTGTTGAGCATGCGCTCGTGCTTCAGCTGCTGTAGGGAGCGGTCACGGCCCTCAAGCCACAGCTTCGTCTTGGTGTACATGGCGTCCGGCCTCGACACGTAGTAGCGGCCAGCGGCTTTAAGCTGTCTCCCAAAGAAACGGCTCTCTTCGTCAAGGCGCTCTTGGGTGCTGGTGTAGCCGTAAAATGCGACGGGCCCACTGCAAGCTCGGCGCGACTCATTCGTGTCGTTGCTTTTGCCGTCATCTGCGGCTGGTCCCTCGCTGCTCCGATGCTGCTGAGCCTCCCGCTTTCGATACGCAGCATCTGCGGCTTGCAGGGCCAGGGTCTGGTTGATGTACAGTTCACGCCGCCTTTGCATGCGTTTCTCCTCTTTTGTGTCATCGGCTGATCGGCAGCGCTGCAGATCGTCACGGTTGCCACTCTCCCCGTCATGCTTCTGTGTAGTTAGGACTGGTGGGGAAGAGAATGAAGAGGGAACGCGGGCCTCATTTATCGGCTTCACTGGCAGTGGGGACGAGACACTCTCGTCTGCCACATGGACTGTGGTGGTTTGCAGGAGGCTGCTGCTATTGGCATCAGGACTTGTAAGGAATCCGCCGGTGCCTGCGGTGCTACTGTCGAGATACTTGCGGTGCTCGTCGAGGCGTGCCCGATGGCGGGCGATCACGCTGTCCACGTCCATACCGCCTCGCGTTCCCTTGCGGAATCCCTCACCAGCGGCAGCAAGGCCCAATGGAAAGCAAAGCAAACAAAAAAAAAGAAATAAGGAACGAAGTTAAAGCACGGAAAACAAGTCACACGACAGGGCATAGAAGCAGCGGTACGCATACACGACGACAGCAGAAATACGCGAAAGCGAACACAACGAAAAGAATCACAGGTGAAAATACAAACAGCACACACACACACACANGTCGAGGCGTGCCCGATGGCGGGCGATCACGCTGTCCACGTCCATACCGCCTCGCGTTCCCTTGCGGAATCCCTCACCAGCGGCAGCAAAGCCCAATGGAAAGCAAAGCAAAGCAAAGCAAACAAAAAAAAAGAAATAAGGAACGAAGTTAAAGCACGGAAAACAAGTCACACGACAGGGCATAGAAGCAGCGGTACGCATACGCGACGACAGCAGAAATACGCGAAAGCGAACACAACGAAAAGAATCACAGGTGAAAATACAAACAGCACACACACACACACACACACATACATACACGCAGCCACACAGATACACACACACACACACAAGAGAAACAAAACAAAGCACAAAAAAAGAAAAATCACTGAGGCGTCGAAAACAGCAACGGGTCACTCAAATATAAACGAACGAGAAACGAGACCTGTCGAGAAAACAAACAAACAAAAAAAAAACATCCAAAAAAACAAAACAAAACATGAGAACAAACACAGTGCATCATAGATATCTGCGTACAAGACACCTTCTAATGGTATCAGCAGCAATACTTGCTGTCCGTGTATATAATAATAATAAACGAAAACAAAAAGAAAACAACACACGAAAACGACATGCCTTAAAATGGACATACCCACGTTGCCAGCCGCATCAGCCACGGGCGCCTCTCGTACGGGACGCACAGAGGAAGAATAGCATCAGGCGGTGGCACTGACGCCACCACCGCCGCATCCTCCTCCTCCATCGTGCTGCCGGCCGGTTGGCTCAGCACCTTCTTGCCCGAACGCTTCGAGCCTGACGTACGCACCTCGTAGTCGCAGAGGAATTCAACACAACAGCTGCGGCCCTCAAGCAGAATCTCCTCTACGATCGGGTCAGTGTGTGATGCGTCTGGGATCATTANATTCAACACAACAGCTGCGGCCCTCAAGCAGAATCTCCTCTACGATCGGGTCAGTGTGTGATGCGTCTGGGATCATTAGCCATTCAATGTCCACAAGGTCGGTGGAGTCCACATTGCTGAGAGCGGAGCGCTCCGCGAGATACAACGATGGAAGTTTCCCTTCCGGCACAGCCCCCATCTCCACGGTGGCGCTGGCTGAGGGAGGACCGCCGTTGCGCACAATGGCGCTGTTATCCGCGGAGAGGGACAGATGCGTCCCGCTAAGCATCGAGAGTCTTTCCTTGCTGGCGATTCGGGACAACATGCGGTCACGCTGTGCGTTGCGCATCACGAAGGCAAGATTCGCGGACTCCGATACGGGAGCGCTACAGTCGGCGTCGCCGTGAATGAAGAACATGCGACNTGCGTTGCGCATCACGAAGGCAAGATTCGCGGACTCCGATACGGGAGCGCTACAGTCGGCGTCGCCGTGAATGAAGAACATGCGACGCGGGAAAAAGTCAAAGATGTTGTTTGGCAGCACCTCTCCCGTGTCACCGCTTCGCCGCTCTTCAAAGTAGGAGTTCAGCGAGTATCGCGGCAGGTTGGCGCGACCACCCGCCATCTCGTACAGCACTTTGCGGTACAACCCGCGGCGGTGGAAGTGCGTCACAAGCCCGCGCACATTGTAAATTCCACTCAGTCCAATGTACCGGTGAATGGACAGGCGGGGATTGTACCGCGGGACGTTGTAGGCCATATTGGATGGCGGTGGCCCACCCCCAGCGGCTTGCGCGTGCAACTGCGCTTGCGATAGAAGCGACATCATTGTGAGGTGTGCACCTGCAGATTGGCCGATGAGTGTGACATCCTCCAGATCGCCATTGTAGCGTTCGGCATTCCGAAGTACCCACCGAATTGCATCCGACACGTCGAGCACCATACCCTCCATGTCTGTCTGCGGGAAGTTGCGGTAGTCGGGGCAGAACACAAGATACCCACGTGCGGCAAGAAGTCGCCCGATCAGAGAGCTCCACAAGTGGCTACCAATGATCCACGCGCCACCGTTGAGGGAGATCACAATGGGGAACTTCTTGCGCCCGAATTTGGCATTAGACCTTGCGTAAGAAAGTGACTGCAAGAGTGAGTCTAAAGGCACCGGCAGTATAATATCTAGCTGGGCCCTTGCTTGCAGGTTCAAATCTTCTGCTGCCGACAAGGTGAATTCGCCGCTGCTGCTGTTGTGCCCCTCGTGCAGCAACTCGCTGATCGCATCCAGAAGTTCCGCGGAAGAGGAGCAGGGAATGCCGTCGATGCGACTTCCGTCAGCCGGGTTAATGTTGAGGGACGCACATTGCATGATTTCCTGATCCACAGCGTCCTCCCCCATGTTGTCGGTTACATGCGCCGAGGATTCTTCCCCACCTTTGCGGTGAAACAAGCCGCCCAGGCTTATTCTTCGCTGCGTAGACTCCCGATGACCCCGCTTCTCTTCGCCGATGACTTTGAGAATGTTTTGGCGCTTCACACTAGGTGAGGACCGGTACGCGACACCGCGGATGATATTAGGCGAGGTGATATACCACCACCAGTGGCCCATGAAGTAGCGCGCCACCAGCAGAATGAAGCAAAGCATGCGGATGGCACGTATGATCCACTCTGCTCCGGTCCCCATCGCCCGGACGAGCTGCACACTCAGCGACAGGAGCCAGATGAAATGTACGAAGAAGTACTTGAGCATATTTGCAAATAACAAGGTTTTTTTTGTCTTTTCAATAAATCAAAAGTTGTTCCTTTTTTTCTTTCTTTTTTATGCCTTATTTCTGTGTTCCAGATCCTTACGTTTAGTTGCACCTCGCCTTCCTTTGAATGTTTTGTTTGATTTGCTCTGTTGCCACCGGTGCCTCGGTGCCGTTTCTCCGATAACAAGAGCCACAGCGAGACACCAGTCTTTGTGGTATGGTGTGCCTTTCCTTTCTTCTGCCGGACCTCTGTTCGCTTTGCTGCTATATTCACTCAACACAGGGGGGGGGGAGATCTTGGAGACGCTCACACGGGCTACCGGCAGCCACAACCACAACAGAAAAGAAAACAGGGAAGGAACGAGGGCGAACACAGAGATCGGGTCACTGGAAAGAGAGAAAAGAGGCCTTACTCTGTAAAGCCCATACGGGCAAGATTCGCCGGTATGTTTCCAATTGCTTCGTCGCACGTTCTCTCCGCCTCTTGCCACTGCCTCCCTGCGCCGCCCAATGCGATTGGGCGGGTGGGGACCGAGAGGACCAGGTGAGCGGAGAGGGGAACACACAGAGTGAGAAAAAAAATGGGAAAGAATCAATGACACCTGCATGAACTCGAAAGGTTCACCTCCAAAGGCCTCCACAATGCGTGGTGAGGAGGCCGCTGAAGAACCATGGAACCACACACGCATCCACACACACACACACAGAACAAGAATTGACACAAACGGTGGCCGCTAAAATAAATCCCTCTCGTAAGCGCTTCCTTTCCCAACAACCCATTCAAATGCAATCTCTTGACACAGACACATCGGTACCACGTGCAAAAAAAAAAAAAAAAGGACATCGCATCATTGCGCACCACAGTCTCGCTACCACGCACACGCGCACGCACACGCATACACATAATAAAGTAGTAAACGAAGGGATGGGAAGGTGCCATAACAATAAAAAGAAAACAAAAAGCCAATACGCCTCAGAATGGACAAACATAGCTGCCCAGTCGTATCAGAAGCGGCCGCTTGTTGTGCGGTGCAGGGGTCCACAGCGTCCCGTCGGGGTGCTTTGACGGCACAATCTGGCCATCATCATCTTCCAGGGACGTTTCTGCATTCACGGAATCGGTAGGGGTGTCAGATTGCTGCACACGCCTCCCTTCATTGGTAGAGTAGTAACATAAGAATTCAACAAGATGACTAGCCTTCGCACAGAGACATTCCTCGATAATGGCGTCCGTGTGGTTCGCTCCCGGAACAAGGATGTACTCAATCATCACAGGCGGCGCCTGACGGCCAGACCCGTTTTGGCTGCCGCTGCTGGTGTAGTGCTCTGCCAAACGTGCAGTCTGTGCGTTGCGCATCACGAAGGCAAGATTCGCGGACTCCGATACGGGAGCGCTACAGTCGGCGTCGCCGTGAATGAAGAACATGCGAC